ATAAGTAAATAAAAGATCAGAAAACAAAATCCTCATACCATAGTGTGTTATTTAGGCGTGTCTTGTTTTAAACACTTTCAGTGACCTTCTGAAAGTCACACCCTCATTCATCCAAATTAAAAACACAGTTCAAGACCTGAAATGTTTAACAGCAATGATCAAAGTATTGTAAATCTTTTGCCCTTTCTTATCCTGCTCTATTGTCCCATGGTTAATGTTTTAGATTCCAGGTTAGCTTCGTCACATTCCCTTTCAAGTATCCAGTAATGAATGCCTTCCACAATATTTTGGTGTATGAACAATCAAAAATCGATGTTCTAAGGTTTCTATTTCATTCCAAAAAACAATTCGCTGGAAATTTTGTATCACAAAATCATGACAAGGATCAGATTTCATTTAACATCTTAAAATGTCGTTTCTAAACCTTTTTGTAATCGAGTAGAGTTCGGTATTTCACCCTAATTCCAATTACTTCAGTGTATTCTTTTAATAGAATTTCACTTTTAAAGACAGTGCAACTATATTTGACGCAAGGGCACCTTGTAATGATCTATCAGTTCATAAAATATTTTTACAAAACCACACCGCTGATCGAGAAGGAATTATCTTATATACAACCATACTATAGACTTAGTATGGTTGCTGTAGTTAGCGATCCAAGATGGCCGACATTCTGTAAATGCATGCCTGAGATCACGTTACAGATTGTTTTTTGACATGCGTCTGCAACCAGCCGAGGCTTGCTCTCATGCAGGGCTGCGCAACTCGTTGATCGTAATCAGCCAGGAGACTGTCCCCAATATGATCGTGAGGGATGTGGGAGGAAAAAAATGTGTGTGTCTGTGCGCGTTATTAAAATGATATATTTTTGTGTACACTGCACCCTAAGCATCCTATCAGTTTCGGTTTCCCAAAAAAGTATTTTAAAAATTAAATTAAATTAAAAAGCAGCTCACCTTTAACCTACGATGACCTGCAACTCTCGAAGTTATCAGCATTCAGCAGTCTGCAATTGCAGCTTGGATTCAGAGCTGTTGTGATATTTACCGTATTGGCCCGAATATAAGACGGCCCTGATTAAAAGACGACTCCCTCTTTTTCAAGACTCATTAATTTCATCATTAATTTTTATACAGAAAATAATTACAGTACACCTGAAACAAATGATTATAACAATATACTTGAGAGAAAAAGCATGTTATTTTGCCTCATTCAAATCTTAATATCTGAACATTTAAATATGTAAACTAAAGTGCAATCACATTCGTAAATGAATGACTTCTGGTTTTATAAAATGTAAATTACATCATAACTTCTCCTCAGCTGCCGGTTAACCTGGCCGAT